ACCGTCGTCAGCAGGAGGGGGTGTGTCAGCCCACTGCGTTCCCCTCTTACGGACGACCTCGCAGCTCGTTTGCGTTATTCAACGTGGAGTACAGAGGCAAAAGTAAAATTGCTGTCATTTTAAACATTGTTATTTATTTCGGTGGTATTTTTAAAAATAAAATATTGAGCAAAATAGTCCTGAGAACAATGTTGTTTACCTTGCACTGTCCTAAACAACAGCCCCTCGGCAATAACGAGTGCGGCTTTGATCTGAATGAAACGACAATTATGTTATTGTCTCTTGGCACAATCACTAAGCCCGAAACATTCACGAATATATTGAACGCCGAAGCTGCAGTTGCAGTGGACAGGAAATCCGTCTTTAGAATGGCTGCATTGCATAGGAAGGCTGAGGGACAGCGCTGGGTGGGATTTCCTGTTCCATTGTTTGCGCAGCTGGATTCCCGTGCGTCCCTCTCGCTATTTTATATTCCCAGTGGTGGGGCCCCTCGGCCGTAATTTCCAAACGCGCAGCGTTGTGCGGCGTGCGCAGTGTTCACGCAGCATCGTTCAGCGTCGGGGTCGTCCGCTCCCGCACCTTGAGAGCCACGCGGCGCCGTGATGGCGGAGGAGCCACATTCTGGGCTCCGAGTTGAACGCCGACTGACTGCCAAACTTAATGTCTCGATTCCACGACGATGGAATCGGTGCCGGCTCCGGTGCTGGTACCGGACGGCCACGTTCCCATGGCGACCCAGCCAATACGGGCTCCTGGGACCGCACGCTTCGATCTGGGCTTACCCTGGAAGCCGCCGAGATGTCACGGGGTCAGCGAGGAGGCGAGACGCGCACGCGGGGACGTCCCTCGTTGGACAGCTTGCCGGGCCAGCGCTACACGTATGGAACATTACATCAACGGCCTTGGCCCAGATTAAGGAGCTAGCCACAGTGGTGTAATGGTGAGCACGCTGGACTTACAATCCCTAGGTCAGCGGCTCGATTACAACTCCCGGCACGGCAGTTGTAATAACAGATAAAGTTTCTTAAACCGCCCCCTCCTCCGTTCACCCAGCGGTGTACATGGTTTCACTATTGTGAGTCAATCAGCAGGTCGCGTGCAGTGGGGTAATGGGTGCACCCACCTCTTCCAAAACCTGTGGTCAGTGTGGAAGAGTAGGCCATATATCCTTTTGGGTTCGCTCTCATGGTGGACGCCAGTTCTGCCAACGGTGGCGTGAGCAGGCGATTTCAGGGCTGTGCCTTCACATTCCGTGGTGGGGAACCCATCTGTGGTCCACAGGCCGAACGCGACCCACTACTTCATCTGGTACGACCTGAAGGCATGCGAGGCCTACCACTGCTCAACGTCTCGTGAACGATATAGTCACTGTAAGCCTCTTGACCTCCTTCTAATCGAGTGCTGGAGAGGAATATGTTTTACCTTGTTTCTAATCTAAGTGTGCTCACTCGTCACTTCTGTCATCTGCAAGGTTAAATAATTTACGTGGTGATACCACGTTGGCAATGGTGCACACACATAAATCACAAAAACTCCAAACAATCGTCAATAAATATTCCCTTTTAAGGCAGTGTTATTGACGGACGTGTCGAGTTGTTGTCGCTGCAAGGCCATCTTCCAGTGACAGCAGTGACTGAGTTGTGGGTGTTCACGTGTGGCCCAACAAAGATATTGGACAGTCCCTTGTGGCCCTCAGGAAGGAAAAGGTTACCTGTGCCCTGCCCAGATTAATAAAACCTAACATATCTACTGGCCATGTAAAAAATGTTAACAGAAGCTTTTTTACAACAGCTCTGTGACCTCCACGCCCTGGGGCCAGGGGTAGAGCCACGTGGGAGGCGTGGCAGAGGGTGCTGTTTGTGGACCCGGAGAGAGACGCGGAGACACAAACCACACACGAATGAACTGAAATTGATTCAAAACGTTGTGAATATTTGGCAATCTTGCTGCATTGCATCATGGCCCAAAAGGCCCGCAGGAGCCCCACGTAGGGGCGAGGGAAACGTATTTTATGTAAGTGCCTTCCTGGCCAACATCTGGGCCACGAGCGTTGAATGTGAACTGGGGTACGGCTCCGCTACCCGGCTCTCGTGAGAGATGTTGTGAAATACTAAAAAATCGGCCAGTGGGCAGATGGAGGGAGATTCCTCCCGTGGGAATGACGAGCCGCCCATAGAAGCCAACTCCGTGCGTGTCCACCAGGGCCGCGCGGGGCCTCGCGCGGCCCTGACCGAGCCATGCGCCGGCCAGAGCGCCCAGTGTAAATAAGTTCATAACCCGCGCCAACCCACGGGCTGCATAGCAGATGAGCATTATGCGTACGTAGGATTGCATCAAGGCCTGGCAGAGTGTGCTAACGCGGTGCGGGTATATGATTAAGAATGGCGTTTGATGAACATGGCGGCTCAATGAGCAGTGGTGAACGGGGTCATTCGCCACTTTCTCTCCACTGCGGGCCACCCGACCTGCGGAGAATGAGACTGTGGGTGGATGGAGATCTACTTCCCTGACCTGGTGTCTACTTGGATGACTCTGTCACACCGGCATTTCTTAGAACACCACCGTGTGTGTGGGGTCATTGTTGCACGAGTATGTAACCAGACATGGATACGTCTCACATGTAAACCAGTTCATGGTCTCAGTATCGCTGGAGCGTTTGTCAAACAAAAGCGATACTGGTCTCGTTTTGTTTTCATATTTCAGCGATCCTCCACTCTTCAGTCTCCTCCCATAGCTAAAAACACATGCAATGCAACGGGTCTTGACCAAACATCCCAATGAATAAAAATGTACCTGCATATTTACTCATTCGTGATTACACGTAGCAATGTTATCCACTACTGCGTAAACTTGGTACGATCCTCCTGAAAAAGAGTTTTGAGACTCCGTGAGGCTGCCCTATGCAAGCGAGCGTTCCGGTACAAACGCTATCGCGACGATTGAAGCCGCGTGCTGTGGCGAGGAGGGCGGTGGGATAGCTCCGAACGCTCCCCGCGAGAAGCTCGCTTCCTCCGAGATCGCACGCGCCGCGTCTCCAGGATACGCGGAATGTTTGCGACCTCCTGCAGGAAGTTCGTACAAGCGTCCAGGAAATTGTCTCGTGCGAAGAGGTGAGATATGGCATATTTCCCACGGAAAACGGACTGCGTTCGTTGTCGCCCACCACGTCGGAGTGTACTCTTAGCGATAGTCCGTGGTCCGGTACTGGCCCCGTGTGCGTAATGCACGCGCACGGACGTCGGGGGCCATTCGCAGGCCAACCAACTGCACATTGAGATTTGACTTTTTGGAATGAAGATCAAAAAGCTACGTTCGTACGTTTCTTTGGGATGGGGTTTTGCACTGTTTGAGCATCGCAGACCACAAAACGAATGGTTTTACAACTACCGTCCGATAAATATTTACGCTCTTTCATATTATTATCCACTCCACCAAATTGGTTTGAATACAATTATAATGTCTGTACATGAATGGAACATGTGACCTACGTGTTTCTACAGATAATAGGACGTGCCCGGGAGTGGTGCAAATGTTTGTTGCCTTTTTCTCAAGTTCTCTCTAGGACGCGATGTCGACGTCACATCACGAAGGTGCAGCGCAGCTCTTGGTGCCATGTAGCGTCTGCCACAGAGTGATATTCGTTGGATGACAGTCAAGCCATGTTTCTTACTCTGCATATTCGCAAATTCGTCATTGAAGGGTTTTGTGTGCTTGTGCACCACTGTCAATGCAGTTTCACCAAATAATATTTATATAGTCAGCTGGAATTTATCCAAATTAAGTGGAAATCTAACTTCATTACCATGAGATTACCATGCGGTCATTGGTGGCGGGACGCACTTGAGTACCACGTTCAACCACAGGCAGCTGTCTGGATTCGAACTCAGGTTCTCAGCGGTGCCTGGCTCTGCGCTCGGAATGACCCGATAAGACATTGGGAATGTCACCCCCGCTGGTAATCCTGGGTGGCTTAGCGTAGAAAGGGCCTTTTACAACAGCAAGTTAATTTTTTACGGATATGATGAACATTTCTGCGCTGTGGAAATGGCTTTAAAGAGAAACATGCAGAGCCCCTTGCGTGTATACAACATCAGTCGCCGCCGCCACCTGCTTCCATCGGCTCTGCACCACCAAATGCCTCGGAGTCAAGACCCAGGAGAGTGTTTTACAACAACATGAGATGGCATGTTCTCAAATGTTGAGCATCACTGCAACAGAATGTGGAACGACCACTCGCAGCATGAGTAATCTCAGCCCGTATCTACACAACCCGTGTGTTCTGTGTGACCACAGTGACTTGCGTAAATATGCAGAGCAGCGTGGTGTCCAGGTAGGCGAGTGCATTGTCTGATGCGTCACAAGTCCTGGGTATGGTTCAGGTCTCGTCGTCACAAATACTATCAGCCATTGTCTATCCCCTACTGGATGAAGACCTCCTCAAGCCCGCCGCCTTCCATCACCACCCGTCCAACTCCTGCTCCTGAACTGATCTCCTTGCTTCATCGTCTGTTGTGGTCATCCTCTCGGACACTTCCCCTCCTTTGGCTCCCATTCTCACACGAGTCTGTCGTCAGCCATCATCCTCTCTACCGATGTGTCCTGCCCAAGCCCATTCACATGTCCGAGTCAGCGATGTCTCGAATCTGCGTTCATTCCCTGTTCCACATGCTTCTCTCGTTCTCTCTGTGGAATCAAATGCATGGACCTCTCCTGGTTATGCGATGGGAGGACAGAATATACCGTGAGGAAGCAATGACCTTTAACTTCCCATATGATTGATGGAGATGTTCGCAGCTCCGCACAAAAATCGCCGCCGCCTCTCACAAGCAGGAGGTGGCGGTGTTAAGCGTCGCTGTGGGTTTTTTCCGCGTTCTCCGGGTTCCTTACAAATGAAGCCAACCTCTCCTTAATGGCATTGGGCCTGAGACCCAGCGATGCTCCCCTCCGTAAATTATTGGTGTTGTTTTGGAACTAAGACGCATCGTGCTTTGTTGTTGCAGGAGTAAAGACTGCACATTGGCGGTCAACGTGTGTTTCTCAACCATCGACATCATCCTGGACCTCTTCGTCTGAGGCCTTGGGGCTGCGGGACAGGCTGTGGATGAGCGTCTAGAGCACGGCGCGATATCGGCGAGGCCGAGCGTTTTTCCTGGAGAGAAGGACGCGACTTCTGCGAGCAGCAGCCCGAAGCCTTTGCCTGGGAGAATGGCGGACGTGGATCTTCGCCAGCGGAGGCTGCAGATGTTGATGGTAATCACACTCAAAGTGATCTCCTGCTCAAATCAGCATCGAGGTGACACTCATATCTCGGCAGCCTTGCTCGATGCGCGTATCGTTGAGCTTCACAATCGATATTGATTGATGAACAATTGCATCGTTACACCCCTAAAATTCCCGTTTCAAGTCTGGCTTGGGCCAAAAGATGTTTGTTGACGCTGCGGCTTGGGAAAATGCAGAAAAAGTCGTCGTTAACACCTCTCGCATACGATGTGGCTGGGGAAGCCCGATCTCATCGTGGATTAGAGGCACTTTATTGCTGCGGTTGTAAATGTATTTCAAAGTTACCGTAGCATCGTTATCAAAGCATCGCCAGATCGCGAGAGGTGGGAGCAGCAGCTCGTGGATTGACCCAGGCCCACGGATAGAGGAGCTGTAGACGATCGGAGCGCAGATAAGAGGAGTGCCAGCGTTGGACTATTCATTGGCCGCCTTCTCGTCGCAGCAGTCGGCCCGCTGCTACATTGACGTCTCGCTGCACTTCTGGTCGAGTTTGAATGAGGCAAGGACACGGTGCCAAACGCTGATTGTTAATTCAAACCATTTCACAGTGCCCCACTGATTAGTAGTGGAGTCGTTATTCTTGCCAGTGCAGTGTGTTTTAATGAGGCCAGCGGAACACATTAGCACGACCGGCAAAGGGTGTGTGACTGATTATCATTATTATTATTTTATGCAGCGTCCTCGAGGATGAGGCTGTACTGTGTGTGGCGTGCGGCACCGCGCGTAGCGGCGATTTGCCTGCTCGGAGATTCCGTAAATCGTCACCACTCGGGGATTGCGCTCCATTCCAATAAACATTTCACTCTCTTGTTTGTACCGTCCGACTTGTTTGTGTTGTCGTCACATTAGCACGGTCTCTCTGGATCGTAAACCTGTCTCGTTTGTTACGTGTATCTCGGCTTTAGTTTCTCGTTTGTACTTTAATTTCATGTATAACGTCCCAGCAGCATTAATTAGCATACGATTTGCATGCATTATAAATAATCTGTTCTCACACACATATTCCATACAGGGGTGTAATGCTGAATGTTTTTGGTTGGTGAATCGAGGCATCATTACAATGCCTGGCAAGTGTTGGTCTATTCCACGTGCCCTTGTCTCTCTCGTGGTGCCGCCACTCTCCTGCACGCCGCCCCTCGCTCCCTCCTGCCCAGGCCACCCAACCTCTCAAACCTCTCGACGTCTCAAGCAACCTGCACGTTTCCGCTTGGGTTCCGGCTCTAATCAGGATATTGTATATTTTATCGGAGGTATATAACGACTCGCTCCCTTTCAATGAGTTCTCATGATTCGGTGGTCACGATGTAATGTCGTTGTTAACATTCTGGTGGATATGGCACCTTCAGTGGCTGCAAAGATCACATTATTGCATGCGCATTCAATGACTGGATAGTGAGTTTAATAATGCATTATTTAATTAACTAACTCAATGCAGCATTGTTTGCCTTTGAATTGGCACATTTATCACGTGGCATTATTCATTGGCTTTGTCGGGTGGAGGTGGGTGTACAACACACATTTTACTCGCGCAGTCTGACTGAAAAATCAGCCAGCCTTTCCCAAAGTACTCTGCAGCGCTGCCCCGTAGCACTGTACTCCTCGCCATGGCTCCTACAGGGGGACATGCCCGTTGCTAGTCTCATTTCTGACGTGGTATGACATTCCCCCGTCGTGTGTCGGCGCGCGCTGGGTGTAGGAGCGAAGGAAAGCGCAGACCAACACGGAGAACAAGAAACAGGAGCTCGAGGACGAGAAGCTGAAGCTGCACCACCTGAAGGTAGCGCTCACGCAGAGCGCGCTACGCGGCGGGCCACGTGACGAGTTGTGTTTGTGTAAGGACAAGCGCCGGGCACTTTCACACGGACAATCGCTGCCTTTCATGACGAGCAGCAGTGGTGATGTCACCATGAAGTCGTTGCCAGGCTTGACGTGTCCGAGGCTGCGCGCCGTGACAAAGATTCTCACAAAAGAGCACCACATTTTGTTGGCTCGCACGTAGTAATAATAGTAAAAATGTCCCTTACTTTCCCCAGGAAAGCCTCTCTGAGTCTCAGACCCTTCTTCTGGAAGGTCTTGCGCTGGGATGTTTGGCCAACTTGGAATGTGGGAGGAAACCCAGAGGGCCCAGAGAAAGCTCGCCGTGGTCGGAGTTTGCGATGTGTACACGAGGCTTCCTCATTGTTTACTTTGCTGAAATATTCGCTGCTGCTGCTGCACCGTGTTTATGGAGAGCGGCTCCCATCGGCTGCACAGGGGCATCAATAACAGCCTCCCCCGGAGACCGGTTCTGGTCACGTCACAGTGATTTTCTCTTTTCATCTCCTGACCACAATACTGCCGGCTATGAACCGTACAAATGCTCCGCCGCTGTTCGCCTCACAGTGGTCGTTTAAAGTTCCGGCGACATCATTCTCAAAGAATAGGCCATTGTGTGTCGGAGTCGTCATCCAAATCGAACAAATTTAGAAGTCTACCCACAATATACGCAATTGGGAAGCACACAGCACCATCGCCTCTACTGCTAAACGACTGCAAACTGTGCGAAACGCAGCGTGCTCCTGCGAACCTTGCACTGTAAGAATGATGGCGCGAATACCAAATGTATTCAAGATTTGGCTTGATTTAGTTTCAATTCATTCATTTTTTGGACATCGTTAAAGTAGCTGCCACACATAGCTGCCAGGATTCATGACAACTCATTCACGACGAGATACACGAATTGTGCGCAGTGAATTTCTACACTCGTGATTAAATACACGGTGCTTCGTGAGTTTAATCACATTCATCGATTAATCCACACGTCGCTACACCCCTGCTAACTGAAATATTACGAGCCACAATTATTCACGCAATGTGTATTTGTGGTTTTCCCTCTCGTGCACCGCCCTGTTGCCATGGCCCATCGTCATGGTGCCCTGCGGTCGTCATGGCGCCCTGTCCGCGTGCGAGCAGACCAAGTCGATGCGGGAGCAGTGGCTGCTGGGAGGGCAGCTCAAGAGGACACCGTCCCAGACGGACATGGCGGAGGAGCGCGTGAAGGAGGATGAGGCCCTGACGGAGCAGCTCTACGAGAACGTGCGCAGGTGAGGGCGTACGAGGGTGAGGGCGCACGAGGGTGAGGGCGCGCGCGGGTGTCGGGTCATGTGACGTCGTTGTTCCAAGGACCCTGTCATTGTCTGTATGCTCAAAAGAGAACCGTCTTGTTCTCCATCATCGCAGCTCCTTCAATGCGCTGCCCATTATTATTCACCATCATCTTATTATTGACAATCAACACACTTTATAGTGCTTACACGTTGCTCGACGCTCTGCCATCAACATCAAACGTCAGCTCCCGTGTTGTGGCGCGTGCGGTGCGCAGGCTGGAAGAGGAAGTGAGTCGTATGGAATGTGCGGAGCGGGAGCTGCTGCTGCGGGAAAAGGCCGTGCTGCAGCAGCTGCACCCCGAGGAGCCCCCCGCAGACGGCGCCCAGCAGGTGCCCTGTACACACTGCAGGGTCGACGCCAACTGACTGTACATTCCGTCGACGTCACAACACGCATACGTTTTACTAAGATGCAAAATAGATTATTAATTCTGACAACTGCCTGATGCTGCTCGTTCTACCTATACGCAGACCGTCCGTACCCAAGAGTTTAATGTTGTGAGATCGCTCTTCCACACGCTGGTAGTGCTACTGAAGCAGCGCATTTATTCATCGCATGACAACATTATGAATTGGCCGTGTCGGTGGAGGAGGGTGTACAACACATTTGACTTGCGCGATCTGATCTTGAAAAAATCTACTTTGAATCAGAATATTGGTGGCAAATGCCTACGTGTTAAAAATACAGAAAGCAATGAGGCTCCCACCCACTGAGACTCTCATTCACCACCCCCAACCGAAATCTGCCAAGGAGTGGCGTTGGAGAGGCCCTCTGAGCGTCCCCCTACCCCCCTCCCTTTGGTACTGCTGATGCCCCTCATCGTCTCTTTGCGAGACAGAAATGACTCAGGCAATACGATTGCAGATGAGGCGATTGGTGGTAGAGACCAATGGTCTGTGATCAATGTGCCCTGGCGTGTTGTAGTTCTAGCAGCTCCATGCCAGTCTTTGCCTTTGTGACTCAATACGTTGTGATGGACCTTTGATGGCTTAGAGTTCACTTCTGTGATTATAGGAAGAATTTGTACTGCACAGACACACATTTGCTGTTTAACTTGGAATGCAGTGTGCGATGAAGCTCACGCTCTGTGTTGTGCCATTCTCAGGATGTAGAGACCATGCTCCCCGATGATGACGGTGAGACTCTTGTCATATTCTGATTTTAACACCATTTCATTGTTCCATGCCATGCCACTGTTAATCTCATCCATATTTGTCCCTCCACACGCATCCCACCAGCTGCACACACTGCCATCTGGAGGTGCATCATTATTTGGCTCAACGCAAGTACATTTTGGACCGGCTCCAACATTCACTGTCTCATCGGCAGACTCGGGCAGAATCTGGCAGTTAACCAGCGTTGGCTCAAGAAAGGCGAGCAGATATGGGAAAGAGGAGTACTGTCTGCTTATTAATCGCGTTGCATAAATATTGAACAGGCTTGCAGCAGCAGCAGCAGTTTATAGGAGGCTAGGTACATTATGCAGCTCTGCGTCATGCCAGCTGCAACAATGTTTTCATTTTGACTGCACTGAGCACGTGCGGTTGACAGTCACAGCATGTTATAGGTTGATGGGCAAAATTGCATTTTCGATGTGTTACTCGCTAACATCGGCCCTATCATATCCTGTTCCATGCGTCCTCATCTCACCCATAAAGGACATCTGTAAACACTAGACACTGGGCACTGCAAACTGCAAGTACTTGTGTGAAATTGATTAAATCACAGATTCATGCACGATGCCCAAAGCTTTGAGAAATAACCTACGGCCAAGTCACCCAGAATGCGCCCGATCTAAGGAGAACTTTAAAGTTGAGCAGGGGTGAGCCGGGTTAGTGCTTGGATGGGCAACCACCTTGCGTTAGAACAGGCGTTGTAGGAGCTACATTGCCAGCAGATGGCAGCAAGGCGAAATCGATTGTTGTGCTGTGTTCAGCCTATGCTTCCCACATTCACCAGCGAGGTTGTAAAAGGATGTTGCGTGGCTCCGCGTGGCTCTGCAGGAGGGGTGCAGTACATCATCACGGAGATCCCCGACTTCCCCGCGGGGTTCACCCTGCGTGGCGCCCACGGCGACGGCCCCGGCGAGCACGGCGAGAGGGCCGGTACGGCCCCCCTCTATCCCTCCCCCTCCCTCTCCTCCCTCACTTCACAGCGGCTGCTTGTGTATATTTCAGTGTATTACTCAGAAGTAAACATCGGAAAGCCTCCATAACAGGTTTTTTGGGTTGTATTGCGTGAATATATAAAAGTGTCGTTCAACCCGCCACCACCCGACACAGCCAACTAGTGAAGGTTGTCATGTAAACAGAATGTGGCAATTCGTCACGAGCACAGCACTAGTGTGTAGTGTAGTGTGTAGTGTATAGTGTAGTGTATAGTGTAGTGTATAGTGTAGTATACTAGTACAGCACTAACCGGTGTGTTGGAGAGCCAAGCCACAACATTTACAATCCGAGAACGACGTTTCGCCAGTAATTACAACCAGCTTCATCAGGCGACAGCCAGATTTGTGGCGAACATTTTATTAATCTGCAGTGTATCTGCAATTTGAAAGTAGTGTTTCCCACAGCGCGATGTCTCTCTTGTTAGACACGAACCGCACGCTCTTTGTGTTGTTTGTGTGCCCGGCAGCCGTGTACGCGATGGCCATCAGCGTGGAGAAGGACTCCAAGACGGGAGAGACGCGGGTGGTGTCCAGCACGCCGATGAGCCCCGAGGACGCGCAGTCGCGCGGCGTCAAGGTTTACGACGACGGCTCCAAGGTGGTTTACGCCATCGGCCACGACGGGCAGCCGCTGACCAACGGAGTGGAGGCCATGTCCTCGGAGGAGGTGGACGCGCTGGTGTCACGGGCCGGTTCCGCGGACGTGGCGGCGGCTCCTCCCAGCCCGGAGCAGAAAGCGACGACCGACGACGACGACGACGCCCCGGCGCCGAGCGCGGAGCCTCCGGGTCCGGCCGCGAGCTCGGCGAGCCCTCGGGCCAAGTCCCCTCCCCTCGCTAGAGAAGCCGTGATGGGCATCGAGACAAAAGACGGACTGGCCCGAGTTTACCCGCAGCCGAACGCCGTTCACGGCGCCACCGCCGCCGACGGCCACGCCCCGAAGCCTGCGGGCGACGACGAGGGCGCGGGGGGGACGTCGATCGCGGGCGGGGACATCGACCCCGAGAGGCCCGTCACCATGGTGTTCATGGGCTACGAGCAGGTGGAGGACGAAGAGGACACCAGGAAGGCGCTGGGCTACGAAGGCGCCGGCACGGCCGAGCTGGTGGTGATCGGAGGCGACGAGGATGACGCCGCCGACGACGCAACCGCGGCGACGCCACTCACGGCGGACCCCACGACGGGCCCGGCAGAGCCACCGCCCAGGGCCACCAAGAAGCCGTGTGCCTGTCGATGCTGCAGCATCATGTGAATTGTTCTCATTATTCAGCTGTGTCTGTAGAGTTAAAGAACAGCAGCCAAACGCGGTGTTATACCCAAGAAATTGTTTGTCGTATTAGATGCTGTATGCGTGCCTGAAAAGAAGAAAAATGTATCGGCTGAAAATGTCCATATTTTACTTTGACATATTAGCGGAATTGTATTGTTAAAGTCTAGCCAATTGCATTCATGGGATGATGCTCATAAGTGCCATGAGTTTTACTGTAAGTCATTCAGGTTGGCTGGTCCGCTCCGTTCGAGATCCCTCCCCGTGGGACGTGCGAGCGAGTTGTGAATTCTCACTTGAGCGTCGATGGCCGCTGTGAATCATCGCTCCGGCTCGACAGCCATTGCACCAATCACATTCGCATCATCTCGGACTTGGTGCCTCCGTGCCAAAGAAAATCTTTTATTTTTCAGCGTGTAATCTTTTTATATGAATATGTGTAGTATGTACAGGATCTTATAATACGAAACATTGTGATTAAAAAGGAGTTCATGGTTTTTAGATCTTGATTTTCTAAATTCAAACGATAGACGTGAACTCGCAGGCCTCCGTCATCCGCACAGTCTCTCGCAGGCAACGCTTGCACATGTCCTCGCCCGCGAGTTTGTATAATTGATGGCATTCAGTAATTGGGCGTTGCCGGCCCAGTTTCCTCTGCATATCCTCCTCCAAGTGTCGGGTTGTACACCATGGAAGAGACGGATCTACCAACTTCCCAAGGGAGGTCCTTAAATGCAAAGCTTTTTAAATAGGGCTCTACATCGATAACATGAATATATATTCACTGTGTGTTCTCCATTAAATATCAATCGAGTACAGTCCTAATGTTGTGGGTCACAAGGAGGGTGGGGGGGGTAATTGCCCCATCACCCTCCCCACTCCCCCGGATCCACGACCGCACTGTCGCTATCCCCAATGCGCAGTGGAATGCGTTGATTCGCGTGCCAAATAACAAGCACGGCATCTCAATACTCAATTTGACATTTTAAAAACGCCCGACCACAAGTGTATTTTGTTTTAACCATCTGAGACCTCGAGAGACCAGGGTCGTCTCGTTTGCAGTAGTGGCTTGGTGATACCGCACAGCGGGGGGGTACTCCACGTTCACAATCCCCACCACCACGAGGCTGCCGTATGACCCACCGCCCGCCGTGCCACTTGGGGCGAACATCGCAGCTCTGTGGCCCCCACGCGCTCCGCGTGCCACGTGCCGCGTGCGTCACGATCCTCCTCGACACAATCGCACGGTGGCTCGAGTCGACTGCAGTACACGTGGGTACATATACTCTGCATACAAGAAAGAGGACGGGGTATTGTCCTGAATGAGCAGGCAAGAGACAATGAAGACAATGTGTCTCGTTTGCAAGGAATATACTCGCAAGTGCACAGGGTGAAAGTGATACGTTATACGAATTTTTAATCGAGCGTAAGCAATTTGTACAAATGACAATTTTGCTGCAAAATTTTCACAACCATAAAATTTGCGGATAAAATGTGCAGTTGCAACGCTTTAATTTTGCAATAATTCGCGGTTGAAATGTTCCACGTCGTGTTTGCATCTGGAGAAATGGCAGTTGCCTGAGATGTCTTCATCAACCAGAAGGGATCCCACTCAGACCACATCTCTTATACAACACTCGCCTCTTCCAACACGCCCAGTCGGTGTGGAAGAGTAGGCCAAATGCCTTCAAACATTCCCTCTAGAGTAGGCCCTTCAGCCAGCAGTGGCGTGAGCAAGCAATTGCAGGGCTGCACCTTGCAAGAGTTGTATGCACCCATTCATTATTTACCCTTGGGCGATGTTTTATTTACGTGCTTGTGTCACAAATGGAGTTGGATTGCTTGGAAGGCCGTGTCCCAAGTTCGATTGTGCAGCCACCCTGCTGAGATGCAACCACCTACTTACCGGAGGTCACGTTTTGCATGAAAAGAACATCAACTTACGTTTGGGGTTTCACTTAAATTGGAAAGCGTCCAACTGAGAATTTAAATATAATTGCAACAAATTTCAGCTTTGAGATGTTAAAATAATAAATTAACTGTCACGTCGTGAACGTATCTCCATAGCAAGGCACGTGGGAAGATTCTACCCATCGTGGAGATAAGAGCTCACTTCAAGCGATCTCAGAAACAGTTCTATAACATCTCGTTCTGTTCGCTGTTGCAATCAAATTGGTAAAAGGCAAAGTATTAATGTAATTGTAGAGATAGCTACCAGTCTGTTGTTCTAGCAACACGCCAGCAATGCCACGTGCTTTATGCAAAGTCCAACAAGAGGGCATCTGGCGGGGCTCGTGGCGCGCCTCAGTGGCTCCCTCGGGCGGCTTCCTCCGGGAGCCTCTCGCCTGCTGCAGGAACCTGTCGCCCGCTGCGGGAGCCTCTCGCCTGCTGCAGGAACCTCTCGCCTGTTGCGGGAACCTCTCGCCTGTTGCGGGAACCTCTCGCCCGCTGCAGGAACCTCTCGCCTGTTGCGGGAACCTCTCGCCTGCTGCGGGAGGCTCCCGCCCGCTGCTTGAGGATCGCGCGGGGACGAGGCCCGGCAACCCACGCAGGTGCAGCGCCTGGGGCAGGTGCTGGGGCAGGGCCTGGGGCAGGGCCTGGGGCAGGTGCTGGGGCAGGTGCTGGGGCAGGTGCTGGGGCAGGGCCTGGGGCAGGTGCTGGGGCAGGGCCTGGGGCAGGTGCTGGGGCAGGGCCTGGGGCAGGTGCTGGGGCAGGGCCTGGGGCAGGGCCTGGGGCAGGGCCTGGGGCAGGTGCTGGGGCAGGTGCTGGGGCAGGTGCTGGGGCAGGTGCTGGGGCAGGGCCTGGGGCAGGGCCTGGGGCAGGTGCTGGGGCAGGTGCTGGGAATCGCGAATTGCGCCCACAGAATCCATAAAACATCTTCTCATATATGTGCAAGTTGCAAATACTGCTTTGCAAGCTCTGTGCAAAATAGAACATAGCTCATCCTATAATCGTTTACAACACTTTGCTAACCGCAATGTCTCTGTGAAAAATAGACATTAAGATTTTTTGTGTGAATTTTGTCAAAGGTTAATGCCATTAAGTACACACTTAATTTCAGCAGAAACTGTAACTTTAGATTGTAACCACATGTATTTTTAGGTGAAAACCAGAGAGCAATGCTTTGTTTATGAACTGTTCGCATGAAAACTGCACAATGTGTGCTGCAGGCCGCCTCGCACTGTGTCCCGTGTGCATTGTTCGATGTGAGCGCAGCTCCGCGGCATTTCTTGGCAGTGATGTCATGCTGGCAGTGATGTAGTGCTGGCCAGTTGAAGTGGTCGGGTGCAGTGTGTGTGGCATGTGAAGTGCATGGGAACAGTCGCAACTATTCATGGTGGCTCTTAAAAGCAGCGTGAACGTGAATGTGTGTGTGTGTTGATGTGTGTGTATGTTGATGTGTGTGTGTTGATGTGTGTATGTTGAACTTCTTTCGCGCCGTACGTAGCCAACGATGCTCATCGGAGGTGCGGGGGAAGGACAACAAACTAAACACAAAAATAAGAACTCGGAGTGAAAATAAAACACTATTTCAATTGTTTGTCTTTTTCCCCAATGTTTGTTGTTGTGCTGTTGATAGGGCCAAGTATCCAATCGGAACTCTTGCTTAACAAGCGCATCGACCCATTTCGGAAATGGCCCGTGGAAGCAGATAACACAGAACCTCGTCTGAAACCCCTTCAAGTGAAACTGTTTATTCACACACTATGGATAACTGCACCCGGATATATGTTCGTTGCATCGTAAAATAAATTTTCCTTTAATTCTTAGAACTTTAATTCTAGCCGAACAAAGTGAAAAATAATTAAATATAATCTTGTGCAGTCATTGGTGACTCGTGTGAGCCCACCAGGTGTCTATCCTGAAGGAGCCTGGTTCATAATCACGGGCAGCTAGCTGCTGAAACCCAGATTTAAACTCCTAATCTGATTTGCAATGTCAGCTTAGCGCTCTGCCGCTGAGCCATGCGCCCACCTCAATACAAATGTCACGTTTTAGGCGGACAGGGGCCGCCACGGAGAGCGAGATGGTGGGTCAGAGGGCGCGGGAGCGGAGTGAGAGGGCGAGAGTTGAGCATCTCCCGCACCCATTCCTCCTCCCCCTCCCTCACCAGCGGCCCTCTCACGCCCCTGAATCACTGCAGTGGTTGAGATCTTGGTTCGGGGTTGGCCTGGCCCGCAATCCCTCCAGGGTCTACAACGCGAATACAAAAGTGAAATTCCTTCTCTGTGTGGATGTAGAAATGGTCGCCCAATGGAGACGGAACGGCCCTGGCCATGAGAATGTGGAATGACGATCCATGCCTCTCTCCGGTTTGAACACTGGAACCAGAGCCCACCCCTTACGCGCACTCTCCACACGATGGCAGTACACTCATGCGTGGCATTGCTTCAAAGTGCTTCGCGCGTGGGTCTTGCAAATTTCATTTCTCATGGATCGTCATCATCATTCTCAGCCACGGTCAGTCTACTGCTGGCTGAATGTTGACCCAACAAGCCATCGCCAGCTCACGTGCTCCTGTGAGGTAAGAACCCACCTCCAGCACCTGCGCGGGAGCTGATTTAATCGCAGTTGCATCTCTTCTTGCTCTCGACAAATCGCAGATATCATCACGATCAATGATGCTGGAGATGCCACTGCACCTCAAAATCACTTCATTTCGTTCTGCCAGATCCTGCAACCGCTGCAGAGTGGACACTCAACCTGCGGTGTCTGCGCTGACGGGAGTAGCCCGAATCTGCATACAGCTACAACCTATAGTAGAGAAGTTCATGTTTTAGTTTAGTTAAAGTCTAGCACTGACCCGTACACCAACACCACTTATACCCATTTGTTATCCCTAAAGTTAATCTCTGTCCAATATTGCTCAATTGCTTTTGTCGGCCATTCAACACTCGCTGTGCCAGTCTTGCTGCGCCTCATAAGCACAGGTACCTGTGTACCTGTGTACCTAAACACAGGTACACAGGTACCTGTGTACCTGTGTACCTAAACACAGGTACACAGGTACCTGTGTACCTGTGTAGCTGTGTACCTGTGTACCTACACAGGTACACAGGTACCTGTGTACCTAAACACAGGTACCTGTGTACCTGTGTACCAGTGTACCTAAACACAGGTACACAGGTACCTGCACATGTACCTACACAGATGCCTGTGCAGGTACCTGCGACGGGGCCTCGACGCTCTCGCTTCCTCGTGGCACCGGCATGGAAATTAGGACTGGAGCGAGTCCCCCAGGAATTAGAGAAATTGTCATCAGCATCACGGTGGCGTATTTTTTTAAACCAAGCCTCCCATATAGGTTGGAGTTGCTACCTGTCCAGGAATTGGCATCTGGGATTCGGGTGCCAGGAATTTGCTTGTGCCGAGATCTGGGAATGTGTTAAACTTTATTTCGGTAAACTGCACAGTTCGGATCGCCCGAGAGCCATCGACTGACTGAGGCATATGTCCTGGTTTGGTCTGCAATGGAAATGTGGCGACCCTCCACGTCTCGT